GCCTGTTACTGTCTTCTAGGATATTTGTTAGCCAGCTCTAGTCACGATTCTCCTGTTACTGCATGTCTGCTGGAACAGAAGAGGGAAAAGGAATAAATTTACCATCTCATTTTGAAGCTTTAGCATGTTGAAGTTATCGAGATTTCAGGTGTCAGGTAGAACACTATCGTACAAGAGGATTACCTGTCCAGATGCACTGTATCCGTCAAAGCTTACTATGTATCATGTCCAAGCCATTATGGAGATGTGAGCGTTCACTGATTACCAGCTACCTGGATGAATCCCCCAACCTTAAATGCAGCTCACTGTGGTAGTAGAACCAGGACTTACAGGGTCAAAATACTGGGACATTTTGATTAGCTGGGACAATGGTGTCATGTGTTTACCTGCCTTGCTGTGGGTGTAACTGAAATCCTCATAGAACCTGGAAAAAAATAGACTTTCCCAGAAGAAAGTGTAGCAAATTGTGTTATAGTGCTAAGTATTTGTAGGAAACTTTGTCTTGAATAGATAATTGAGAACCAATAGTATTGCAACAGACCTGATCTATGTGGAAATGACAACCATTAGGACTGGTTTGTTGATATGATTCAACAGAGATGCTGAATTGTTAAGCTCTGTTTGAGGGCATGGCTAATGGGGACCATATCAATAAGTTCCTGCCCTTCATAATTTGAACCAGTGGTAGCCAATGTAACACAATTACTTCCCCTTTTTATGCCTGTTTTGAACTACATGAGAGAGTCACACATAGTTATCTAGATGCTTTGGCTGTGATGGCTCACAAGCTGCACATGCCCAGTCTAGGTTTTCTCCTTTTGACATGATTCTGAGGTTGATTAACCCAGTCAGTTCCTAGGTCGGTGTGGGGACAGGCAGGTATTTACTTACCCAACCCTGCGCTGACACAGGACCTGTTACCAGTGCACATTTCTTACCTTGCTGACCTGTTGCTGGTACTCAGAAACTGCCTGCTGTGCTCATGTGGCCAGGCACCCTCTTTCCATATCAGACACAGCAATGGGGGGCTTATGAGTATACGTGATGGCACAGCAAGACAAGGAGTACAGGGGGGCATCTGAACTGGTGGTGGTTAGGAAACTCTATGGCAAATCAAGGGTCAAATTACCCTGGGGAAGTGGTGGCTCAGTGGTTAAGATGCTAACTCTGACGATCACAAGGTCAGCAATTTGACAGTTCAAGGCCCAAGTGCCGCATGACAGAATGAACTGCCATCACTAGCCCCAGCTTCTGCCAACTTAGCAGTTCGAAAGCATGTAAAAGTGCAAGTAGATAAATAGGTACCACTTTGGTGGGCAGGTAACAGCGTTCCATGCAGTTATGCTGACCACATGATCACAGAGTTGTTTTTGACAATGCTAGCTCTTCACTGAGTGCCCGTCTGCCGAGGCCCTTAGTAATAGAGATGAGCACCATCCCTTACAGTCAGATACAACTGACAAACTTGTCAAAGGGAACCCTTTACCTTTACCTTTAACGGCTGTGTACCCCAGGATCGGGCTGGATCTGCATCTGATCTGACATGATTGGGCCCAATCCTGCTCTGGGGTTTTGGCCTGTATCATCTGAACTAGACAACATGAGGCTGGGGGAACCCAAGTCTTTTGGCCCAAATAGATAACCCCTCCGTGAAATACTTACGTCTTTAAGTATCTGTGCAGAACATGAGAAGCCAAAAGCCAACAAGGATTCCCAGATGTGAGTCAGTACTTGCTTTTAAAGATACAAATATGTCCACATGTTTGCTATAGGAAACACCACTGTGACAGTCACACTGGTCTGCTAGTTGCTGATTGGATGGGTGCAGATCAGCTTGTGGGCATCAGGAGGCACCAGTATTAATGACATATAAAAAGCCCCCACCCCTGAAAAAGCTGTGGAAGTTACTTTTGGACTACAACTCTGAGAACCCAATCAACCAGCACAGCCACATGAGGATTCTGGGAGTCATAAGCTGCAAAAATCAGTTTTCAAAGTTGGGCATTGTTCTCAATGGGAGGAGTTTCGTAATTCATTTTGTCTGCAATCCCTCAAAGCAACACATGCAAACAAGATGAGATTCCTCTCTCCCCGGCCCCACTTGGTCCCTTTAGAGAATAAAAGAACCTAATTGCACTGAGGTTTAAGGGGTGTGTGGGGCTAATTGCACAATCTCCTTTGACTTTGAAAGCTCCCTTCCACTTTGTTCAGATCTTCGTGGCCTTCCCCCAGAGACTTAGCTCTCATTCCAAAAGCATCCTTTTAATTAAGATTCTTCTCCTGCATAAACAAGAACTCCACCCCACTCCACCCCCTCTTTCCCCCTTTAAGGCCAAATTAAAACAAAGACTAATTTTACTTCTTCATTTTATTCCCCCCCCCCCCCCCCCCATTCCCATCAGTTCATTTTATGACTTTGGTTTTCTGATTTACGTCTAGGAAACTTTTGTGGTAATTCTGCTCATATTCCCCAGAAATTAATGCTGGGAGGCAATGTAAAGCAAAAGAGGGGGAAGGTGCTGGAAGAGGGGAGGGTGCTCTCTCTTATGGGAAAACTGCTTGAGGTTTGCCCTTAAAACTAGCCAGGTCTGCACAGCTCTCCAGAAACTACACCAAAATTGTCTGATCAATTCAATGAAGTTAGAAGAAGAACCAAGAGTTAAAGTGTTTTTCAAGAATTTTTTTTTAACTATGATGATGATAAGAATCAAACTGAATCATATCTAAAATATACACTATAATGTGTGTGTGTATGCATGAGAGGTAGGCATATGATACATGATAAGTAGGCAGGAAAGCAGATTAAACTGGCCTATCATGTACATGACACATATAATTTGCGACAACCGTTGCACCAACTTTTCCAGGATGGCAGTTCCATGGCAGAATGCACTTTGCAAGAGCAAGCACATGTATATAGTGCTATTACAGAATCCAGTCTATGATCAAGGAAATCAACTTTTGGCTGATGATGATGATGTGCATTGGAAGGATGATGGGCATTGCAACCCAATAACATTTGGAGGACTGTAATTTACCCACCTCTGGAGTAGGTAATGTAGAATTTGGTGCACCAGTGACAGCTTCCTATGATCCTAGCAGTTTGGTAAAGTGGTTACTGCTCTTATCAATTTCCAAATGTGACTGAGGCTAATATTAGATATTTGTAAGAGTTTCATTGCTGATCTTGAAAACAGCAACTCTCTCATTTTTCTTCCTTTTTTCCAGATAACATCTAGTAATCCAAAACTTGCCCCATATCTGTTGACTTGCTTTACATGATGAACCCAGAGTGCCATGTGGGTCTGTCATGAGCTCTGAAGCTAATACATATTATTGGGAGGGAGAGGAAATAAAACATAGGCTTCTGCCTAGAATGTCTTGCTTTTTGCTTGGAGACAGCCAAACTCTACAATTCCAGCTCTAAAATCTTCTGGTGGATATGATTAACCACTTTTGCTGGCCGAACCCTCTCTGTCTAAGCTCGGTCGTCTGACAACTGATTTCCCAGCAGAGCTGCTCTGCTGGCTAAGAGGTAACTACAGAAGAAGAAGAGACAGAGAAAGCAGAGAAGGGGTGAGGAAGACAAGAGATAAATTATACCAGATAAAACCTTCTTAAACCTCCAATGCTAGCAGAAAATTAGGCCAAATTGAGAGCAGTTCTAAACAATTTCTGCACCTCTGCACTAAGAGAGGTTTGGATTTAACACAACTTCAGCCAGCTTGGTATCAGGTCTGCTGACCCTTGACTGTTTTGACTGGTTAGAATTGCCCTGTTACTACACAAGCCATCAAAGCAATGAAATTGTTCTTATTTTTCATGAGTCAAACAAAATGATATCTTGTTCCATTCTGTCTCAGTGTCTGCCTCCTGTCTATTTGACTACTCCATTTCATAGTCTTTTAGCATACTTTTAGCATACAAAGAATACTTTGTAGTTTTTAGCAACTACTTTAACTATTGTTCATGACCCAGTGCATTTTTTTTAAAGATGCCTCCTGTTCCTTAAGTTATAACCAAAATTCTGCAACAGTTGGCCAAGATGGTTTCAGTGTAGCATAAATATATGCCAACAGTTATGTTATTCAAGCTCTGTATAATGCAACATATGTGGCTCCATGGTCAATGAGTATGACTGACAACCTGTTGTGAAATTGCAATGTGCAATGCACGATTCTGGTTACACCACCATCAGCTGGATACAACTGTTATCCCTGCATAAATCACTAACAGGGTGCTGACCTATGTGTGTTATAGAAAGCCCCAATGTAGGCACAAAAAGAAAATATATGGGGGAAATGTGTTTATTTATGCACAAAACATTTTCTGTATAACCTTAGTTTATGTTGTTTGCTTAATTTCCTCTTTTAGTAAAACACACTTAATAACAATCATAGTTTTAATTAATTTGATACTGAAGTTTAATATTGCAACTGAAAAGGGTCACTGGAAACTTTTTGGCTTCTTCCTCAGTCAGTTCGATAGAAGATTGTGTTAAAACGTGTATTGTTCCTACTACCACTTATGCATTTCTGAAGAACTTTACATAGGTATTGTAATGATGTTTTTGTATCATGAATGAATCAGCTCACTTTATCTTGACATGTATGTCTGTACACTATTTCAACTTGTTTAGACTTCCTTTCTTTTTATATACTCTTCAAATACAGATTTTTCACAATACAAAGTTGGTTGCTAAATATCAGAGAACACTTCAGTTTGCCTGTACTTTGATTTATCCAGGTTAGGATAAAAGTAGATCAGGCTAGGCAATTGTGGAAAGTCCACACGTCAATATTTTGTCCTATTAGGCAACATTGATTGATTGATTGTTGTTGTTGTTGTTGTTGTTGTGTGCCTTCAAGTCATTTCTGGCTTACAGTAAGCCTAAGGCAAACCTATCCTAGGGTTTTCTTGGCAAGAGTTGTTCAGAGCAGGTTTGCCTTCTCCTGAAGCTGAGAGCATGCGACTTGCTCAAGGTCATCCAGTGGGTTTCATGACAAAGCAGGGAATTGTACCTGGTTTCCAGAGTCCTGGTCAAACACTCTAACCACTATGCCATGTTGGCTCTCATAGATGGTCAAAAATGCCAAAAGACCAAAACTGAATTGCAAAATGAGATGGGGCCCTGCGTAAGACCACAACTTACTCATCTCTGTCCTAGACAGATGAAATGTACCAATAATTCTCAACTAAAGTTCTGTTATTACTGGACTTCAACATCTAGCATCCCTGTCCAGTGACTGTGCTGTCTGGGGCTTCTGGGAGTTGAAGTCCAAACAGTAACTTTTCCTGTTGCTATTTCTCCTGTTACAACACACAAATAAAAATGAGCTTTTGAGATTTCAGAAGACATTGTCAACATCTCTACCTTTGTGCTCAAACTATGCAATCTCATACATGTACAGAGAGAAAAGTCCAAGTGATGAGTTTAGTAGGGTCTACTATGAAGAATTCAGAATTTGGTTAAGATTCTTGCAATTGTCACTTCTAAATCCCTTACAAACAGACAAACACACAAATATTCCATTCCATAAGGCCAAGGAGAAACTGACACAAATGTCCCACATTGACATGCCCCTAGCCTACTTTCAGATGCATGGAGTATATATGAGGAAGTAGAACAAGGTCTAAGCTGAACTGCAGACATAATGCAGTTTGACACCGCTTTAGCTGTCATGGCTCAGTGCTGTGGATTCCTGGGATTTGAAGTTGTGATATGTAGCCTACTCTGTCAGGAAGCTCTGATGCCACAAGAAACTACAAATCCCAGAACTCCTTAGCATTGGGCCATGACAGTTAAAGGGTTGTCAAACTGTAGTATTTCTGAAGTACTGATTAGACCCAGGTCTGCAAAAGCTTATGCTACAACTTTTTTTCACTCAGTCTCAAAGATGCTAAAAGATCCCTTTGCATACTTTTTAGCAAGTGGCTGTTATATAGTTTGTATATCTAGCAGCTAGGTTTGCAACTGTAGAGATAGGGATAGAGACAGTTTTCTAGGGTTTTTTATTTTTCAAAAAAGTACTGTTAGAAGGTAGCTCTGAATCAACTTTTACCATTTACTCTGGAGTATATCTAAGGAACACTAACACACTCACCCATTTTCTCATCCTTAACAAGAAAGGGAGTCTTAGCACACAGAGACATCCCACTGAGAAACAATTCAACTGCTGCATGATTTTTAATAATCTGGGACTTGTTTTGCAAAAAAACAAAAACAACCCCCCCCAAACTTGTGCAAACCCCTAGGATATTTCTTTCAAAACTACTGTTTATTGTGGAAACATTTTTTCCCAGACAAATCCCCATGTGTGAAAGAAACATCCAAAAATGCTGAAAAACTTTTGTAATCTCAGCAGTAGAAAGAAAACTTTTGAAATGATTCATTCTTGTATGCAAGAACAAAATAAGCAAAGATTTACATCCCTAACACACTCGCACACACACCAGTTCTGGACTGCTGGGGAGGGTTGGGTGTTTAATTTGAATGTGTACACAACAATCATTACTTGAGGAAGTCCTTTGCCTCAGGAGTACATTATTCCTAAACAGAATCACTGTTTGCCCTGTTTTGTCTAGTCCGCAATTTGCATTTGCTTGATGGATTGCCAGGGTCGGGAGGTGCACTCCTTGGAAATGCTGAAGTGCCATCTCAGCAAACTCTTAAGAGGAAGAGCACACTAATACAAGCCTTTGCCCAAACTCCTTGAGTCTTCTTAGGCTGTGCTAGATCAATATGACAGTTTACTAAGAAGCCCGGACACACATGTATAAGCAGCCTCAGCTGGATTACCCGAGAAGGCGGCATTTTTCTAGTGAAGCAAGACTCATGAAGGGTTCACTGTCAAGGGCTCATTCACCTGCAAGCCCAGTCAACAGTATATATACTGTTGCCTGCCAGTAACAGAAAATGTTGAGAGATTTACAGCAGCGAGTGAGGACAGTATCTGCCTAAAAGAGAAGAGACAAAATGGGCAAAGTACGGAATTCATTTTATTCCATAAGGAAATCAGTGGAAGATGATTTCAATTTACCTGGAAAACTGTATACTCTTACAGTGACTGAACATAAACATGACAATTTTAAAAGTTGATTATCATGCCAGGTTAAAGTATTGGTCTTTATTTGTGTGGATTTAAAACATCTGTTCACTTTTCTCAGAGACTGATTGGAGATCATGGGTAACTTTGTTACTATCAAAACAAAACAAAA